CTCACAAAATCCCAGAAGATGTTCTTTAGAACTTTAAGGGAGGGAGAAAGGGAGAAAAGGTAAATAGTTACCATGTAAATTTTTAGAAATGACCAAAATATATTCAAAACCCAAAGGAATATAAATTAAATGAATAATTTAAAAAGGACAAACAATCTTGAATGCCTTTCTGAGAAGAAAAGTGGGTTTAAATTAAATAAATGTTGAAACCTATCTCAATACTGGAATACTTCAGCACTAATATTTATTCTAAACAGAACATTTATTGAGTTTCAGGTTGGAAAAAAACCTCCACTGGTTCATTCACACCATTGCTAAAACTGACTGCCATTTTCAAAAAATAAACAAATCCTTTCAGCTGACTCTGCAAATCCTAGAAAATGTATGGTTAACCCTAGAGCCAAAGCTAACAGGAATTAACACCAACTTAACACAATCTGAAAAGAAATAGAAATTCTATATACATCAACATTATGAGAGTGCTTTATGCAATGTCTACAAGAATTAAGCCAACTGCATTTAACTAAGTTTTCTTCCAATTTACTGCATCTGCAAATAGTCATATGGGTTATAGTGCTCAACCAAGAGTAGCTTTTTTAAAAAAGGAAATTTGGATAGACTTTTAATGTTCTCTCTTCATAATCATGTCTTTTGCCTCTCAATGAACAGTCATAGTCTAGATGTCAACAATCTTCAAAAAGAACACTGAAACAACACTTTTCTTCAATGAATAAGAATTAAAAGTAGGAGCAGATGTTAACTCATATGCTCTTGCTATGTCAATGTTACCTCTGCCTAGCTTTCAAACAACTTTAAAATCAAGACCTGGAGCTGATTTGCTAGCCCAGAACAATGCTAGTTTTACCTTGATCGACTTCTCTACTCTTTCTACCAAGAGCCGTGATGGCACAGTGGTTAGAATGCAGTATTGCAGGCTAATTCTGCTCACTACAAGTGTTTGATCCTGACCTGCTCAAGATTGATTCAACCTTTCATCCTTCCAAGGTTTGTATCTGATTTTCCCCATTGATTTTGTTTGTTGGAAGGCAGCTGGGAAGGTCACAAATGGTGATCATATGACTCTGGGATGCTACAATCATCATAAATAAATTCCAAATGTCAACCACACATATTTTGATCATATGACCATAGGTATGCTGTGATGGTTGTAAGTGCAAGTATCGATTATCAGTTTTCCACTGCTATTGTAACTTCAAAAGGTCAGTAAGCCAATGCTTGCAAATTGAGAACTACCTGCATTTATTAAAAAAAATTAGCTGTTTAGTAGCATTTATTTTTTACTTTGATCTATCACCAATATTGTTTTAGGAAAATATGTAACATTACTGAAAGCAAAAAAACCTCTTTCTATAATTCATATGGCAGTTATGAATCTGTAAAAAAAATAAATAGAAATGAAGAAACTTAACAATACTCTAAAATAAACCTACAGACAACTATGCAACAACTATAAGGCAAGGAATAAAAGGAAGAGATATGGGCTTTATCAAACATTACAATTACAAATTAGTCTTTTATAGTTATGCTTTACTATTTTAAAAGTTAGTTCTGTATTGCTTCTTCAAAGTCACCTCAAACGAGCTAATCTATGTTTTATTACTATGCTTTGATTCAATGAAGAATTTATTTTAAATATTATTCAGATAGACAAAACATGACTATTAAGCTAGGGAACATTAAATGAAAATTGATGAATCTGAAAAAATAACTAAAACCATTAACACATTTTTTTAAAAAGTATGGCTTTTCTTTAGTTTTCTAAATTGACAATTATCAGGGAAGCTAAATCATGAGTATTGGTCTGTTCAAACAAAGTATTATTCATGAATGTTTCGAGTCTTATTTTAACTTGATGGGGTATGTATTCGTAATCCATTTTCCTGAAAATTCAAAGTCCAATAATTAAAGTCAATGGGCAGACATTACTAACAAACTGAATGCTTTCAAATACAAGGCAGAATCAAAATTTTATCAGAAACTGGATTGACCTATCAGGACCCAGAAAATAAAAAGCCACTTCTGATAATCTCCAAATCAGTTTCATTAGAGCAGCCTACCTTAGCAGGAAGGGTAGCTGATGTTTTTACCATTTTTTTTTTCAAGATATCAAATTATTTGTAGTAAATTTATCAATTTATTGCAAATCATTAGATATCTTGAAAGAAATTCAGATCTACCGGTAATGCTTTAGCCATCCTGATCTTGATTAAGGTAGGTTATGTACTTAAAAAGTAAGAAATGTCATAATGAAAGTTGCATTAAATATTAAGGCACCTAAAGCAAAATAGCACTAAGAAATATTTACCATTAATGGTAAATGTATGTATTCAACATTGAATCTCACACAAGTGTAGTTCTCAAAAAAAAAGTAGCAATTAGACCTAATGATAGTTTACAAAGTCCAGAGCTCACCCAGAATATAAACTATGTGTCAGCGTCACCAAATGGATAACAGATAAGAATTTGAGCTTTAGTGCTATACTGACTTAATCCTACAGACAACAATCACTATCAAAAATCTAATGGTGCTTTCAGTATGCATTTAAATTCCAAAGACCCATAAATTTCTAGACTACCATGTTTATATTGATTCTATGACTTTTCCATGCCACTTTTCATGTCTGCCATAATAGTATGTGCTCATTCCTAATATAGAAATATTTATTCCTGAGTAGAAAAAAAGGAGGCTGCATAATCACATAATTCTGGTTAGTTCATACAAAAATGAGTTCATAAATACTAATGTACAACTTTATATACTAATAAAATACAGCATACAAGCACAAGAAGTGTATATACATGTTTACAGAAACAGACTAAAATAGCTGCATCCAGATAAACCATCTCCTGTTCCATTTCTTCATCATACTAGAACAATATGGAAGTAATTATAGATACATATACACACTTTATGATGAAGTTGCTTAACTATTTTTAATCCAATTGTTTGCTTCACTGCCAGTGAAAATACAGTATGTTTTCCAGTAAAGCACTATTATTCAGAGTACTTTAGTACTGACAGCTCCTATGTCAAACCCAGAGAACAAAATATCACAATTACTGCCATACTATATATTTTATTAGACCAGTCTCTTCAATTCTATATACATTTATAAGAAAATAATGAAATCCAAAAAGTTAACTTCAAGAAGAAAATTGTAAATTCAATTATTTGCAATTAAGTATGATGCAAACAAAAGATTGGCCAAAAGTGTCTAAAATGAAACTTTCTATAATTATATGTCTACCAGTGCCTGATTTTCTGATTAAGTTCAATTTTACATGCTCTCAAAAATAGCTGTTTTCACAACACAGTAATCATAAACTAATTTAGTGGGCTGTTTGTTAAAATATGCTATTTAAATGTAATTGGGTAGTCTGCTGTGGTATTTAGTGTGTCAAGAGAAGGCACCCTTTAAGCTCCACTGATTCCCCTGGAATTTACTTCTGAATAAACATGTATATGATTGTTCTATAAGTAAATTAATAGGTAATCTTCAGGTCATAACGTTTTTTTAAAAAAACACTTTGATTTACTCTCAAAATAGACTATTTAAAAACACATTGCAGACCATTTAATGTATGAATTCTCACATTTGAAACAGAAATAATATATGTTTTCTCTGACAAGAGCAATGGCATTCACATGAAAGTAAGTGATAGCAAAAACCATGCTAATGACTTAGGCAGAGATAAGAAAACAATTATAAACAATTATATTTTTGGATTGGCACAGCAAAGTTTAAATCAGAAAGCTCTTACTATGGTATTTCAAATCAATTCCTGAACTCTTATTTGTAATTAACAGCTTTAGAGTTACTTTCATATTCACTATTCAAAATGTCAACAAAAAGTATTAATATCAAAATGCCCTTAACAATTGCCTCAACATACTTGTGTAACTTTTCAACAAAGGATCTCTTAAATCCTTTGCTTTACATATCTGCATAAAATACAACTACACACAAGACTGATTTAAATTCTTAGACTTAAAACACAAATCCTGTAATTTTTTTAAAAAATGTTTTAATCCTTAAGTCTTCTTGCCTGGAAAAAGTGAAAAGACTTTTTTTCCATACAGTACTCCCCGGGTCTATTTAAGGTGATCTCCGCACATCCAAAAAGGGTGGGAAAAGAAAAAGAAAACACAGAGCAAAAATGGATTCTCTTCCAACTACAGAAGGCAGGAAATTGGGGTTGTGTTTATTCCAGCTTTCCTCCAGATGTGTTAGTCCTACAGGTCTCATCAATCCCGGCAACAACAGAAGGAAAGTGTAATTCAGCCGAAAGATCGTTCTCCCAACTGATAAGATAGCGAGGAAAAAATAAACTTTATTAGACAATATTGAACAGTTCAGGAAGAGTTACTTTTTCACTCTCTGCTGTCGCTCAGAAGAACACGCGCTAGGAAAACTTCATAACACAGATTTCACAAACAGACGAGAACAGGGGCTGAGAAATAAAGTAAATGTGGAGGGCATGCAAGTCCTGGAGACCTTTTCTTTCGAGGGCAGTTGATCTTCCCCGCTTCTCCCTCACTCAGGAAAGATAAGAAAACAAAGAACTCCGGGGGTCCTTGGTGGTCCCTAAGTTTGGTTGTTTTCTTGCAGACGTTTCATTACTCAAACTAGACAACAAACTAGGTAAGTAGCAGCTATGAAGTTACGTAGTTTGGGTAATGAAACAAAGAACTCAGAACTGAAGACAAACGGCAGACAAGGAAAAAGAGTTGCACGAGGAGTTTCTCACAAGTAGACCCTTAAGCCACCTCCCATCTCTGTTGGAGCTTTAAGGAACGGGCAAGGAATTGGAGAGGACTTCTGAGGAGGAGAAGCCATTTCCTCCTATTATATCCCTCTCGCTTCAGCTGGCTGTGGGGCATTTTTAAAATCTGCACTTTGACCCGCCACATCTGTCGCGGTGGCGGTCGCCAGAAAAGTTCCCAGCTCTTTTTTACTTTGTATCGAGCACTCACTCACCCGCTGAACTCATGGTGCCTCCCTTCCATGCGCTTTGCCTCGCTCCGCTCCTTCTCCCTCTTTAAAGCATAACAACCCCTCTCACAGTGGCTGCATAGAAGGGTAAAGTCCACCGAAAACCGCAGCCCGTCGCTCCGGTGCCTGTATAACATTCCCGCAGCGAAGAGAGGAAGACTGACGGACCGAACGAACCAGCTCTGACCGTCTTTGCAGTGTAAAAGCGAAGTTCCCTGATTTACGCCGCGCGACTTGCAAGATAGCGACCCCTGCAGGCCAGATGCCATCAACGCAGGCGCCGCCCCCCCCCCCCCCGCCGCTTCTTTAGACCTCCTCGGCCCTTTCAATCTGCGCAGCAACACCACAGATTCTTCTCCTCCCCTTCTTCCCGCAGTGGCTATTGGGTAGCCGTAGTTGTTGGGCCGCCGCGGTGGGGCTTTGTGGGGGGTTGGGGGCGGGGGGATTATAACGCCGGCCTCGGCGGACTCGCTTTCCCATGGTGCCTGAGGAGAGGGGAACGGATGGCGGAGAAGGATGACACCGGAGTTTGACGACGAAGTGGTGTTTGAGGTGCGTAGCGTAGCAAAAGGGGCCGGTGGAGAGGTTTTGGGTGCCTGTTGGTACAGATGGAGAGGCTACTTTTTTTCTCTCTCTCAAGCTGCCGTTGGCGAAACAAGGTGGCGTCGTAGAACGGGCGCCTGGCGAGGGCAGGTGGAGCTCTTTGCAGGGCCCGAGGAGGAGGAGGAGGGAAGGAGGATTTCCCAGGGCGGTTGAATCCAGTCGTGTCTCTGGTCGTGAAACCTCGCCTCCGAAGGGAAGGAACGGTGCTATTAATGGAGTTGGAGAAGTTTGGTGTGAACCAAAGTGTGACTAGCAGATTATTCATGTCTAGTTCGAAGTACGTCCCACTGAGTACATTACGAATTTACCATCGCAACCTAAGAATAATTGGAGGAAAGGTTTCACGCCAGATCTCCCAGAAATAACGCGTATTTGCAGCGAGGTAATACTACTTGCTTTCAGCAAAAACAGTATCCTCTGGAAGCATAAGTGCTAAGCATTTTATTATGACACATTTTAGTGGGCTGGTCTTTCTTCAAGATGTATGAATTACCACGTTAATACCCTTTTGTTTATTTGTATAAAACTTTGTTTATTATCTACTATCTGGGACTCAAGAGGATTTGCAATCTGGAACCAAAATAACACAACAAACATGCAACTACATTAACAAAAACTAACGATATTAATTGGTTTCCTAGAAAACATTAGGGGACTCTTTAGCCTGATCTACCCAAATCCAATCAATGGGATAGAAGTGATAGAATTGATAAAAACAAAGATGATTATTTGAATTACTTTTTTTTAATTTGATTTATATGCCGCCCTTCTCTGGAGACTCAGGGCATCTTACAATGCATTAAGCAATAGTCTTCATATTTTTGTATATTTATACAAAGTCAGCTTATTGCCCCCACAATCCGGGTACTCATTTTACCTACCTTAGAAAGGATGGAAGGCTGAGTCAACATTGAGCCTGGTGAGATTTGAACTTGCAGTAATTGCAGACAGCTGATGTTAATAACAGTGCTTTAGTCTGCTGCGCCACCAATTTATAAACGTTAGTTTATAAATTCTAATCTCTGTATATAAAAGCTTTCTATTATATGCCATATGAGGCTGTTGATTTGGAAAAATGTTAGTAATAAGGCCAAAAGTTTTTCTACTGTTGTCTCCCACATTCCCTTTATAATAAGGCTCACTAGAAGAATATAACTGAATTCTGCTTTGGAAATATTACCAATTTTAAATTGCATGTGAAGAAAATAAATCAAAAATTTTAAACATCACCTCTGTATTAGTATTCATGCAACAAGTACTATATAAGTATGTAATCAGTTTTGATATATACTAATGCTGCAGAAGCTAGATTGACTAAGTTATTAATGAGATGATCCCTTTCTCAATGTTACAATTCAAAATACATAATACAAAGAAAGGAGAGGGCTGTATTACAGTATAGTGATCAGCTGCAATAAAAATAAGGTAGTTTAACAGAGTGGCTGCTGGCTGGACTACAGTTGGATGAAGCACAAGTCTGCAGCATGTTAAAATGGCTGCTGTTAAGTAGTTTATGATAATGAATGTAGCTTAAGGCATAAGTAATGCATTACATTATTATATATTTATTATTTTGATAATGATATTTATACAGTATTGATTAGAGACAGTACTAATGTTTAGCTAACTTAGACCTTTAAGGAGAAAGTGTTAACTATGATTTGAAATGTGGATGTAAGAGAATGTTTAAATTTTGCATCCAAAGCTAAATATAGTGTTAATAAACAATTGCAAATCACATCAAATTATTTTTGTACAATATATTTTCTGTCTTAAACTGAATAAGGTATCCACTGTACAGTATAGTTACTTAGCTTTCTGCTTTGCTCTTCCCATATTCATGAAAAAAGTAGCCATAAGGAAGGCATTGGAGATTTTTAATGTCAGTTTGAATGGTTTATAGATTTAACAAGCCATCATTATGATTTTATAGTTCTATTCAGATATTAAACTATTAGTAATCTATATTGAGTTTTTAAAAAGTGCATTGTGTATTTGTACAGCCCAAATATCCAGAGGACCTAGCTGCCTACTATGGGAACTTACATAAGTCTGCATATCCAATTACAATTGCTTAGTTTCATTCTGGAAAAAACTTATCTGATAAGAATATCTCCCTCAGAAGATATAGTTGCAGCATCCAAAACAGAATATGAAAGTAGACTATAGTTAACTAAAAAATGGAGAAGAGAATTATTGAGGATGAGAGCAAAAATGTGCAAGCTTCAAACGATCCCTACTGACATGTAGAATAAAAAGCAAAATACATTTGATGGTTTTTCAAACCATTCTCAGTGTTATAGAATTTTTTCCAACATGCATATTTTTTCTTTTTGAAGAATACCATTGCTAGGATTGTTGCTTATAACATTGCTAATAAACAGATCTTCAATGTATATATACTCAAGATTCCGAGGTTATACATTTTATGCTGTGATATAATTTATTGGGTATTTTTCTTGGTATGTTTATTATCCCAATTACTATAGTATTTTAACTGGGTTTTATGCTTCTGATTAGTGTTAACACAGAAAATTATGTGTAAAATTAGCAAATTAGATTTATGCAAACTACCTGTCAAGGTTCACACCAACTGATAGTAAATCATAATTCTCCAAACCTTATTCAGCATTCACCTTCATTGCAGAAGACTCTCAGATACAATTTGGCTAGGTTAGAATATTCTAATCCTTTCCTCCTGCCCTTTTGAGTGAATGAATATTCTGGCAGGTCTCTTAATGGACTTGAGAGGCAATTGAGATAAGTTTCTGTAATGATTCTCTCTTGTCTAGTAACCAGTTGCTCTTTGTGAGTTTCAACCCTAATACTTTTCCTATTTTCTCTTTCCTTCCATCTATGGGTCTGGATATTTCTGGTAATGGGTAGCTGGAGGTACTGTGCCACCTCTTCCATTTTCATTTCTCCTTTGGCTGGAGCTGGAAAAATTTACCCCCTCTCAATCCCTCCATTTTATGGCACGGAACGGGATGTTTCTAACTCTTAATTCCTCAGAATTAAAAACTTCTGGCTGGTCCAAAGATCTTGATTGCCACTTAGATAATTTGGACTTATAAAGGTGTTACAAATGGAACTGTTAAAGGAGATGTGATACTTGAATGTCATCTGCTATATCTCAAGTATATTCAGGTTCTGGATAATTTTTACAGTGGATCAAGTATTCAAAGCTACCCATCCTGTGTTGACAGTAAAAATGCCTTCTACACTGAATTATTTTCCCCTGCCCATTTGAATGGAAGATTGTGTTTCAGGACCAGGAGAACAGTGAAGAACTGGATATATTTTAATTTGTGCTGTTAGAGAGAGGAGTGCAATAAACTGGACATTCAGCTTTGTAGCCAGTTGAGTAGAAAACTGAAATCCAGTACAAAGATGATCCCCAACAATAATCAGGGAGGGTCTTTCTGATATGAAGTCAGAAGAAGAATTGTAGAAGTCCTTGGCATGATTTGGTTGATCTTTAAGGAGGCACAGAGAAACCTGATAATTCTTAGACAAAACAAATTCTCTGAAAGAAGAAAAGGCTTGGAACCGTTTATCAAAAAGTACAGGTGGCAATCATAGTTGGCCTGAAATGACTTCATCCAAGTGGAGAATGAACTGAGTTATTATATAACAAACTCACCCATAGAGAAAGGATCATGCCCATTGTCTTGCTGCTAGATTACAATGAAGCAGTGAATGTATTGTTCTGAATTTGCATTTGTCCTCCTTGCTTTGACATTTGACAATGGGTGATGGGTAGAGGACAACTAAAGCTGTGCATTCAGTTGTGGAAATACAGCTTTTCAATCTTCCATGAAGATTGGATTGGCCAAATTGTGATTTTGGAAAATTTGCTCAATGACCAATAAGCTGTTTCAGAAGCATAGGAGAAAGCAGAACAGACCATCTGCCAACAAAATAGCATTGTGAAGGTCAGAGGTAATGACCAAGAAAAACATCCCAAGGGAAGAGGATAGAGCAGTCCAGATAGCTTGTTGGTGAAAAATTGGCATGAAAAAAGCATGACAAGAAAAAGATACAGGCCTTGACATTTCTAATGCAAGGCTGCCAAAAGTCTCCCCCCCCCTCCCCATGGGTCATTTTGATTTATCCCCAAGGCTGCAGTCACAGAGCTGATGGGCAAGCAAGGTCTAGGCTTTCTCCTTTCCAAATACATCAGCCTCCTCTGTGTAGTAGGTGGCAGGCAAACTTGAAAGTTATACTTGCAGACAAGTGGTAAATGATGGAAATGTGATTTCCAGCAGATTTAGTTTTGCATTCTAGACAATCAAAAGTGTTTTCATTGTGGCATCAATGAATATGTGGATTCTGAAGCCCTGTGGCTGTTCCAGCAACAGGATTGCAACATATGGGGACACTCAGTTATGATACAGTTTGTCCCACGTCCCGGGATAGTTGGTTCATAATCTTTTAAATTCTAATATTGGAGCAATATATTGCCAACATCATAAATATTTATTTATATTTGACTTTATATGGCTATCTCTCTTGATAACTAACTTGAGGTCTGCAGCTTAGTTAAATTTTTGGTCTCTTGTGATGCTAATGGAAGGAAATAATAGATACCTGAGAAGCTAGTTCC